CCCCCCTGACCTCAGTACCATTGACTCTCTTCCACTCTTCAAATCCAGACTCAAAACCATCAGTTCAGACTGTCCTGCCCCACCTAATACACACGCACCCATTCCGTATTGCACTTGACTACTGTTTTATTCTGTTGCTCCTGTTTTTATTATGTCCTGTACAGTGTCCTTGGGTGTCTAGAAAGGTGTATGTATTATTGTTATTATTATTGGTGAATTAGTTAATATTTATCTTTTTTCATCAAGTTTTAAGCATTAATACTGACGAGCTGGATCATCTGTGCCTTGTATGTTGTTTAGCTGGCAGGCATGGGCTTCTTCTCAGCACATCTTAATGCTAAAGCGGCCGGATGTCCTGGCATCATTTGCTTCCAACTTAAAACCACATGACTCTGATTGTATGTGACTGAGGCGAAGGGGGAGGTGGGACCAAGATGCACTTTCTGATCTTGCAGAATTAGAAGGCCCCACAACAACAGCGTTCGGCTCTATGCTCATCAGCTGTGAGATTGGCTCTTGAAGGTTTGGGATTTTTCAGTCTCCGGATCAGTGGCTTGTGAGATTAGTTGTGATAGTGTTTTTACAGTTTCCTTGGAATATAATTTTCTTGATTCAAAGGGGATTGATAAACTGTTTTAATAAACGGTTTCATATTTAGTTCTATTTACTGTCTATTATTTTGAATGGGGAAAAAAAGTACCATAAGTGTAATTAAAAATAATTCACACATTTCTGTTTCTGTACAATTGCAAAAAAGAGACGTTTTACCTTAAAGCTGGGGTACCTGTTTTATTCATTAATAAACAGAAAGAGTCCGTTGGTCCATCAAAATGTGAAATACAAATTTTCATTTTATTGGAGCACACTTATTTTGCACACTTGCCGCCTACTGAAGCCCAATGAGTCACTATTTGAGGCTTTTGTGTGAGAGCTGATAGGCCGAGTGGGAGTGGTCCTCTTTTTTCACTTTTACAGTGCATCCGGAAAGTATTCACAGCGCTTCACTTTTCCACATTTTGTTATGTTACAGCCTTATTCCAAAATGGATTCAATTTTTTTTTGAGATTCTTGTAAATGTATTAAAAAACTAAGAAACCACATGTACATAAGTATTCACAGCCTTTGCTTGATACTTAGTTGATGCATCTTTGTCAGCAATTACAGCCTCAAGTCTTTTTGTATATGATGCCACAAGCTTGGCACACCTGTCTTTGGGAGGTTTTGCCCATTCCTCTTTGCAGCACCTCTCAAGCTCCATCAAGTTGGATGGGGAGTGTCGGTGCAGCCATTTTCAGATCTCTCCAGAGATGTTCAATTGGATTCAAGTCTGGGCTCTGGTTGGGCCAGTCAAGGGCATTCACAGGGTTTTCCTGAAGCCACTTCTTTGTTATCTTGGCTGTGGAGCGATCTTGACTAGTCTCCCAGTTCCTGCTGCTGAAGAACATCCCCACAGCATGATGCTACCACCACCATACTTCACTGTAGGGATGGTATTGGCTTGGTGATGAGCAGTGCCTGGTTTCCTCCAAACATGACGTCTGGCATTCACTCCAAAGAGTTCAATCTTTGTCTCATCAGACCAGAGAATTTTTTACTCATGGTCTGAGAGTCCTTCAGGTGCCTTTTGGCAAACTCCAAACTAAGGAGCGGCTTCCGTCTGGCCACTCTACCATACAGGCCTGATTTGTGGATTACTGCAGAGATGGTTGTCCATGGGCGGCACGGTGGCTGAGTGGATAGCACTCTCGCCTCTCAGCAAGAAGGTCCTGGGTTCGAATCCCGGTTGGACCAGGGCCTTTCTGAGTGGAGTTTGCATGTTCTCCCTGTGTCTGCGTAGGTTTCCTCCGGGTGCTCCGGTTTCCCCTACCACTAAAAATATGTACAATAGGTCTGGCATGTATTGTATTGTACTGGCACCCCCACTCCCAAAAATCACAATTGTAAACCGCTTTGAGACTCCGATGTGCAGTAAAAAGGCGGTATATAAATAAAGATTACTAATTACTTACCTTCTGGAAGGTTCTCCTCTCTCCACAGAGGAACGCTGGAGCTCTGACAAAGTGACCATCGGGTTCTTAGTCACCTCCCTGACTAAGGCCTAGGGCTGGGCGATAAAACGATAACGATATATATTGCGATAGACACGTGTTCGATATCAATAGAAAACGGGGTCGATAGAACTTCTATAGTTTCACTTCAGTCAGTTCGAAAAAAACAGGAACACAACACAGGATGTAAAGCCGAGTCAGAAGCGCACGTCATTCTGGGGTATGTAGGCAAAGGCTTCTCGACCTATCACAGCCGACTACAAACCGCAAAACTTTCTGGGAAAAGCAAAAAAACAACCGCACCATGCGTAGCGTCCATGGATCATGGATCTATTATAATAGCCCTGGATCTAAAGATCGTGTTTCAGGGCCGTGTCAATGGTTAAACATGTCCTGCGAGGAACAGCATGTGCAGCGCGGGAGGCAGTGGTTACAGAGACTCGATGCATTCTGCAAAAGCAAGAGATTCACTTTTTCCGGAGCCGCCACAAGGACACAAGACACTCGAAAAAAGCCAAAACAGGAGCTAAACCAGGATTAAACCAGGACTAAAGTGGGGGAGATTGCTTGTGAACATTTGGCTCCAGCCTCATTCCCCCGTGACTGTAAACAAGGCAGCTAACATGTTTTAGCCGACACAACAAATTTATTTATTTACGTTTTAAAAAATAAATAAAAAACAATCAATTTATATCGTTATCGACCGTAATGAATTACTTATATTGTGATATAGTTTTCAGCCATATCGGCCAGCCTTACTAAGGCTCTTCTGCCCCAATCGCTCAGTTTAGATGGCCGGTCAGCTCTAGGAAGAGTTCTGGTGGTTCCAAACTTCTTCCATTTACGGATGATGGAGGCCACTGTGCTCACTGGGACCTTCAAAGCAGCAGAAATGTTTCTGTACCCTTCCTCAGACTTGTGCCTCGAGACAATCCTGTTTCGGAGGTTCACAGACAATTCCTTTGACTTCATGCTTGGTTGGTGCTCTGACATGCACTGTCAACCGTGGGACCTTATATATACAGGTGTGTGCCTTTGCAAATCAAGTCAAATCAACTGAATTTACCACAGGTGGACTCCAATTGAGCAGTAGAAGCATCTCAAGGATGATCCATGGCAAAGGCTGTGAATACTCATGTACATGTGATTTATTCGTTTTTTATTTGTAATACATTTGAAAAAATCCCCAAAGAAATTGTTTTCACGTTGTCATTATGGGGTTTTATGTGTAGAATTTTAAGGGCAAAAAAATTTATTGAATCCATTTTGGAATAAGCCTGTTACATAACAAAACGTGAAAAAATTTCCGTATGCACTGTATGTCTGAAAAAGCTGATCTAACTGCTAATTTACACGTGTTATACGCGCAGAAGACGCGCTTAACATTTTTACATGTACAGCAATGGGGATATTTACACTACTAGTGTCATCCGCGCGTATGACGGACGAATGACGTGAGGCTGCGCCTAATTTAGAATGGATTTCTAATTTTGTGCGCGCAGCAACGCGTCTCCCATTGAAAACACATGTGAAACATGATTCTAGCGGTCCTTGGCTTTAGATCGCATCCACACATGCACACAAACGCACACACACATGCACACACACACACACACACACACACAGGCAGGCATGCAGGAGCAGCAGGTTTTACAGTGATTCTGGACATTGTTTGTTTTTTCATTCATAAAGTCTGGCGTCTGTCCAAACCAGCGCACAGAGACCATGAAGACAAACACATGCATGTGATTTGTGTTGCTCTACATCAGTCCTCTGTACTTTCCTCTACACTTCTCCATTGACTACACAAGGACAGCTTCAAAAGCCGCGGACCTGCACGCACGGCCAGTGTACATACAGCCGAGTAATGTTATGCGCATTGGCGCGCTGTTAACGCCTATTGTGGAAATTAGCTGTAAGATGTGACAAAGACTAGAAATGCATGCATTTTTTGAGAACAAGAAACTCAGTTGATTTTATTGTGTAGTTTCATTTTGTGGTTTGAAAGTCAGGCATCCCAGCTTTAATAAATTGTATCAAATGAATGAGCTGGTTCAGCAATGGTCAAAAGTACAGCAATATTAGTTTGCAATAATATTGGTGTTGCAATGTCTGCCCAAAACTCTCTATAGATATTCAAATTCACATTAATTATACATCAATTATAGAAATATAGAGGTACATATACATGTTGGTGATTTTTTTGTAACATTTTATGTTATAAATGAATTACATTTTTCTAACTGATTAATAGTTCTATTTTAAATGTTATACCTTAGAAGTGTATTCTGATTTGTATTATGCCTTACTCTATTCTCTATTCTTTATCTCTCTTCTTTGACTGTAGCCAAAGCAATTTCCAAGTCTGTGACTTCCTGTTACTTACATGGCAATAAAAAATATTCTGATTCTGATTAAAGGTCAGACTTCTCTATTCTGCATTGCCTCACATTGACCTTTGGAACACGACTGCCTCTTTTGTACAAAACCTTTGGATTTGTAGTTCAAGCCCTGGTATTCCCAGCAGCAGAGACCATCAATTGCCCGCCTGGAGGTGCGGATGCTGTCAGTTGACTCATTTATTGACACAGGGCTGGCAGCCAACACTCTCCCGCTTCTCTCCATCTCCTCCTGTTCTTATCTGCCTCTCTCTATCCCAGCGTTGCCTGCTTTTTCATCTTTTGCTCCTTCCGTCATTTCTCTCAGCTCTCCTCCTACCTTCTCTTGCTCACTCGCTCTCGCTATACCCCTCTCCTCCCTCTCCTCCCTCTCCCTGTTTATCAGCTCGCACACTCCCCCCTCAGCAGCCAGCCGCTTCATCATTCATTCCGTGAGCAGCGTGTGCATCAGCCCGGGAGCGCGTTTTGTTTTACTACACCAGCGAGGGGAGCCGAACCAGAGGAAGAAGCCAAGTGCTGAAGTAAGTGGAGGTCAGCCTAGCGCGTTGGAAACATGACCGCCTACCTGAGCAAGCAGCAGAGTTGCTTCTCAGAGCTGGATGGTCAAGAGGACAGAGAGGGACCGAGCTCCTACAGCTGGCTCTCACAGCAGCCTGGAACTCTTCACCACCACTACCAACATCAGCATCAGCAGCAGCAGCAGCATCATCATCATAACCAGCAGTCCGGCCAGCGCTACCATTACGCTTCAGTGCCGGGAGGTGCCACCCTCCCGCGGAGGGGGGGGCGCCCGGGTGGCTGGCATCACTCGGACAGCCTGTCCCACAGGAGTCCCAGTCACTTTGCATCAGTGAGGGCCAAGGGGGGCAGCTGCGACCTGTGGCCTTCAGAGTGTGGCTGCCATCACAACTGGCACGAGCCCTATCAGGTAAAACAGGAGCTGTGCTAATGGAATACAGACTATACTAGGCAATGCATGTTTGTATTTTCTGCCAGCTATAGTATATTGCATAATATATAGGTTGACGATTACTGAAAAATATATGTCATAGTTATTTATCTTACTGTGAATCACTGTAAAAAGCAGCATGTTTCCATGTGATGTTGAAATGCATACAGCCACCATGACTCTTGTGAGTTGGTGTGTCCTGTACCATTGAAAAAGCGTGAGTTTGTGGATGAGGTGCAAATGCAAAGAGATTTTAAAAACAATGATGATCAACATATTTTATTATTTCCTGTGTATTGTGTTTTTATTGTATTCCTCATTTATTTATATGTTTGTGTTAGTTTATGATGGCTTCAATGGCCAGTCACACTGCATTATTTCCAGACATGCAGTAACAATGAACAATAAAGTAGAGTTATCAGTATTCTTATAAAAAGTTCATAAATAAGGGTATAATTTTCACATACAAAATCAATTTTGACTGTCTTTTATTTTGTATAAGGGCTAAAACTCGTCACATGATTTGTAATGAGACGATGGAGAGATGAGCACTGAAGATATCTGTCATCCTGAGAGACATCCCTTAATGTCACTGCTCTGGAATGTTTAATTATGGGTGTACTTTAATGTAATTATTTGAGTTAAATGAAAGGTTAAATTATGGGCATGTGTTGGCTCTGCTATCTTGATGCGAGGGCACAATATCTCTAACTGCTAGCCAGTTGGAAGTTAAACTATATACCTTGTGATATCTTCATGATCAACTTTGAAAACTTACTGTGACACTTCAATCCACTTTTATTTGTAAAGCACATTTCATGAACCATTTTCAAAGTGCTTGATAAATTACGAATAAAGTTCACGCACAAGAGTAAAAGATATAAACATGTAAAGATGGTATATCTGGATATAACTACATAAAAGTCGAGCGATTTTAAGACACTCCACAGAAGGTGCAGCTCAAACATGAGAGGGGGGGAGCACTTTGGATCAGCCACAGAGAGCGCTCTGTAACCTGGGGTTTTGAGTCTTGTCTTGCACCAAGAGCTGGATCTGGCCCTCAGACTGCAGCGCTCAGGGACGGTTGGTTAATCTGGATGAGGTCCGAGATGCATTGTGGGGCCAGTTCTCTAAAGTCTGAACACAAAGCCAGTGCGAAGACGCAAGGATTGGACTAATGTTCTTTGATTTTGTACGTATACCCTAAAAAACGATTGAGCCATCAAAGTAACAGAGGCGTACATACGGTGCAAAACAGAAATACCAATTAGTAACATATGTCCGTTCTAATGGAGGTCAGGGACTGCTGTGCTTGCAATGTGCTGTGTAGTAATTATGTATACTTGTGAGGAGGACAGTGGCAACATTAGAGAGAAGCTGTAGTTTCAGATGTTTTGATTTGCCTTACACATAAAGACGTAGGATTACGGCAAAGCGCTGCATCTGATGGAATTGATTTCAAGGATGAATGAACTGACCGAATTTTCACTTCACAAAGCATTTCTTGAGGAGACAGTGATATACTTTAGTATTGGGGGAAATACAGAACTTGGTGAAAAATTGCTCTGTGTTGCTGCAAATCTGTCATAGCTACTGTTAAGAAATGTTTGTATACTGTAGGTGACTTTAAGCTGGGGTACCTATCTGACTATTTCAAGAATAATGCATTTGGTTTGCTGCAACAGAGTCTTATGAAAGTCAGATTTATTTATTTATTTATTTATTTATTTATTACTGGGACAGTGCATATTAATGCACATTTCTGTAAATATGCCAGAATTAGCCAAACGGCTATTTTTCATCCGTAGTCCCATGTCTCCTGAAAAGATAAAAACATGTTTGCTACACAGTTAAAATAATGTGAGATATTTACAATATTTACAAGGACAAGACATTAAAACCTTCAGTCACACGTCGTTCAACAAACAACAATACACAATCACATGGAGACAGACATAGAACACATACAGGCGCACACAGATTATGCGGCCAGCAGGGGGCAGCGAGAGCAGGCGGAGTCAGTGCTGACAGGTGTGATTATCAATGAGCCAGTGTTTTAACTGTGTTTTGTACGTGAGGTAAGAGGGTGCATTTCTGATAGTTGTGGGTAGGAGGTTCCAATCTGAGGTGGCACGGACAGAGAATGAAGATTGACCAAATGTGCTTTTCCTGAGGGGGGTGATACAGTCCCCTCTCGCTGCCCCCCTGGTCCTGGTGTGGGTGCTGTTTCTGGTATTGATGAACTGACTGAGAGGTGGGGATGAAAGACCATGAAGGATTTTATAGACCAGACAGAGATTGGAGAACTTGACCATGTTATCGAGAGTGAGAAGTTTGTGTTTGTGTAGTATGGGACAGTGGTGAGAGTGATGGGGTTTCTTGTCCAGGGTTTTTACCATCCGTTTGTAGAGTGAATGCAGGGGTTTCAGGGCTGTGGTGTTTGCTAGGGACCAGGTAGGGAGACAGTATGTGATGTGGGACAGAATCATGGAGTGCATAAACATTTTGGCTGCTGGAGTAGACATTTGGTGGCGGATGTGTTTGAAGTTGCAGAGGTTGTATTTAATTTTATTGCATGTTTTTTTAATGTGAGCTTTGAATGAGAGGTGTGAGTCAATTATTATTCCAAGGTATTTGTATTCTGTGACGATCTGTAGCCTGTTGCCTGAAACTAAAACATCTGAATCTGTGCATGGGAGAGACTTGTAAGATTTGGAGAAGAACTTTGCAACTGTTTTGGATGTATTAAGTTTGAGACAGGAGTAATTGAGCCAGGATGAAATGTGAGCCATGGAGTTAGTGAGTTTTTCAGCAACCTGTGAAGTGTTATTGCCATGTGTGAATATTACTGTGTCGTCGGCGTACATGAGTATGGGAATGTTGCAGACAGATGGGAGGTCGTTAATGTAGAGGGAGAAAAGTAGAGGAGCTAGTGTGGACCCTTGAGGAAGACCGGTGGAGAGACCGAGGGTGAAGACTGGTGAGACTGGATACGGACCTGCTGCGAGCGATGTGAGAGATATGATTCAATCCATTTTATGAGAGAGGGAGAGAAGTTGAATGAGTGTAATTTGGCCTGAAGGATTTTGTGGTTAACTGTATCAAATGCTTTTTTGAGGTCTAAGAAAACAGCACCCACCACCCCTCCCCTGTCCAGCAGTGCTCTGATGTTCTCTGTGAAGTAGCAGGTGGCTGTTTCGGTGGAATGGTGGGTTCTGAAGCCAAACTGCATTGGGTGGAGACTGTAGGGTGTGGTGTGAAGGTGAAGGGATATTTGTTCTGCAACTAATTTTTCTGCTATTTTAGAGACTGAAGGTAGGATGCTGATGGGTCTGTAATTGTCCATGGATCGAGGGTCACCGCTTTTGTAAATAGGAATAATGATAGAAGATTTCCAGATACTTGGAAACAGATTCTCAGAGAAAGACATATTAATGAGTTTGGTGATGGGGGTTGTGAGAGAAGTGGAGATGTCCTTTAATATGATTGCGTTCATGCCCAATATGTCTTTGCATCTGGATGGTCTAAGTGATTTGATGGTCCGTGTAACATCTGTCTCTGAGATGGATGTCAGGCTGAGAACAGGTGGGTCTTTATTGGCTGTAGGTGAGTGAGATGATTGAACAAAACCTTGCGCTATATTAGCAACCGAGTCAACAAAATAAAGGTTGAATGCTTCAGCCACAGCGGAGGGCTCGCTTGAGAGACTGCCATTAATTTTGATTTCCAATTTTTTGTTCTCTTTGGCTCGATGTCCTGTAATTTTCTTCAATTGATCCCATATAGCTTTGGAGTTACCATTTGCCCCTTCAATTATGGTAAGGAAAAAATCAGCTTTAGCTTTCCTGATTGACCTAACTACCTTATTTCGGAACATAGCAAAAAGACCACGATCATGGGTGGATTTAGATTTCACAGCTTTTTTTAAAGCCTTGTCTCGCTCATTCATGAGTTGTATTATGTCCGTGTTGATCCAAGGAACTATATTTTTATGCGGTTTGAGCTTAATTTTCTTTGTGTAGTCCACAATTGTTTTCTGGAGTGTTTCATGGAAGGAGTCTGTGGCAGTATTAACATCATTATCGTTCAATGATAGATCCCAATTTATTTGTTGAGCTGCAGAAAGAAAGCTTTCATAATTTTTTTTGGGGATATCAGTGATGACATTGGACGAGGGAGAAGATCGGAAGCGGCTGGATGTCAGTTTCCTGGATGTAAGTGTGAGATTGTGATCAGACAGCCCTGTTAACATATTAAATTATTTGGTGATTCTTTCTGGCCTGTTAGAGAATATGAGGTCAATTTGAGTATTTGTAGAGTTTGTTATTCTTGTTGGGCCACAAACTATTTGGATTAGATCAAATTTATCGGTGATTTGTTTCAACTTTTTCCTTGTAGTTTTATCAGCCCAATTAACATTGAAATCCCCCATTATTAACACTTCTTTGTCAAATTTGCATTCTTTAAGCATTTCTTCGAATTTATCATAGAAGGAGTTGTCTGCTGAAGGAGGGCGATATAGAACAACAATCGTAAGTGACATTTGCGGTGAAAGTGAAACTTTTAAACCGAGACATTCAAGTTGTTCATGATTTGGCAGCTGAATTTGGTGACATTTTAATGAACTTTTGACATAAGCCATCACACCCCCACCTTTTTGGGGCCCTCTCTGTCCTTTCTATATAAATCATATCCTGGGTTATTGAGAGCAGCAGCTGGAGTGTTTTGATTGAGCCATGATTCTGAAAAGCATATATAGTCAAGGTTTGAGTCTTGAAGAAGGTGTTGAATTTGCTCACTTTTAGATAGATAGCTCCTAATGTTCAAATGACCCCCTAAAAGACCCTTAGGTTTAGCCTTTGGGTCCCAAATAATCCTTGAGTGATTGACAGTTTGAAAGGTCGCCCACTTCCGGTGTTTTGCAATTCCTGGATTCAGCAGTTTCCTGATTGTATTGCCCGTTGTCATGGGGACAGGAGCACGCGGCCTTGTTGTCGAAGTATCCTGACTCGGTGGCGGAATGTTGTTGCGTTGCTCAGAGGCAGTGGAGAAGCCAAAGGTGGGCTGCGCTCCGGTGGCGGTACCGTCACAGAACCCTCGCGCTGCGTGACTCTCTGTGGTCTGGAGTTCTATCGCGGACCCGGAGATCCTCAAACGATAGCCCAGTACGGCGGCGGACCCAGCAGCATCGGGTGGCGATGACGGGGAGTACAGGTTAGTACACACCGGACAACAACCCTGCGCATCGTGTAGTGGGCTTACCTGTAGGAATGTAGTGGCGCGCTCCTCCACAGGTTGGTTGGTCTGGCTATGCGTCTCCGCAGGTGTAGATTGGTGAGGACCTGAAACGGAGGAGTCCGCCCCGATCGCTGTTATCAACACCACAATCCACAGAAACACGACTCGCTGGGCCTGGCAGGACATCAGAGCCAAACCCACGCCACACGCCGCAGCCGCCATCGTCGTCCAGGGCCAATCAAGGGAGCGCCTCCACTTTGAGTTTGCTCATCACTGATACTGGTCCAGGCGCCGCTCGTGGTCTCCGACTTATGCCATAAGAACTTATGGTGAATGTGGATATCACAGAAAGCGACACAAACTCAGTTCCTTTGTGCGTGAATCCAGGTCATATGAGCAGACAGCGGGACATTTATCCTTCCCATGCACCCCTGCGAGGCTTCCAAGTGTGTGTCAGTGTAAATGACTACAGCATGGGCAGACCTGGACCAGACCTGGACCAGACCTTATTCACAGATATGAGTGTGAATAAGGTAGACCACAACATGTCTATCTTGTTAGAAAACATATCTGTGTCATCTTATTGTGTCATCTGATTTGCTGTCAGTAAAAGCTGCGACAGAAAATACATGTGAATATGAGTGATGGTACTAAACTGTTTTTTGAGCCAGGAACCCATTAGATGGACTTAAAGCTGGAGTACCTGACTTTGAAACCACACAAAAATAACTAGTTATATCACTAGTTTTCACATGCATGTGTATTTGGCCTCTGTCCTATCTATAGATTCGTTTTTTCAGTAAAAAAGCTGATCAGATTATTTGAGTTAAATCAAAGTTTAATTGAATAGGTGGAAAAAGAGGTACAGTATGTGTTGGCCCTGGTGTCTTGATGACTGTGCATCAAGACACCAGGTTCAATAAATCAGTTCTCAGTATGTTAGAGATTTAAAAGATGAGAAACTGAATGTTGTGATATTTATTCACAAAGTTTTACTCCAACCAGACTTTTTCTGGTGGAACAAACTGTATTCATGAAACCAAAAAGGTACTCCAGCTTTGACAAATATAACAAATTATAAACAAATATATACTTATTTTTGCTGAATTTCAGAATTTTCAACATGTCGAATCTAATTATGATTAAACTCCTGGGATGTGCATTACTTGAGCAATTATAACACAAGCCGAACTACCTAAGGCAAGGCTGGTGGGAAGTAATGGGAGGCCATCCATCATGCAGCTCTGGCAGCAGCCAAGCAGAGAGATAGTGCTCTGTGTGAACCTGCTCTGGAGATATACGGCCTCTTTTATAATATAGAGTCTCACAGCAAGGGGCTAATGAAGATTGGACAAGATATGTACATTGATTTTACTGTGGGAAAGAAGTAGACTTGTTCTGAGCGTTTCATTTTCAGCTAGTCCACAATACACAGTTTGAAATGGGGTTGGACGACTCAGAAGCTCACAATACAGAGACACAGGCTCATACACCCAGTACCTCTTTTCAATCACTTGCCCTCCCTGAACATGTTTGTGATAGGGCCTTGTGTATAGCGGTTGTCGGTGGTTGCATACCTTTTCCCTCCTGTTAAAAAACATATGCATTGTAGCCTCCCATTTGTTCAGTCCTTGATAGAATATTCACAGAAATTCAGCAACTTGTCTCAGCCTTTCTTGGTATTTCACTGTGTTGTTTACTATTTTTACACATGATTGTTTGAATTATTCATAGACTTTCCTGTTTACTTGAGCCACCGTGCATAGTGGTCCCTTAAATTATTGAGCAAAACTCGGAAGAAGTCTGAGAATCCACTCAGGACGTACAAGCAGCTCTGACTGTCAAGTCTGTGTCATGTCTGTGGGGATGCTGTAGGCATGCAGCCTGATGGGAGCCAGGTGAGCTGTTGTGTACTCTTGTGCATGTTTCTTCAGGGCTGTGGTAACAATTATTTTGATAATAGATGAGTTGGGCAATTATTCTTTCAGTTGAACAATTACATTTGGATTGTTTGTAGTAAATCCTAGTAGTATAGCATAGTAAATAAGAAATGTTCTAAACAAAGCTTAAATTATATTACTCAATAACTTTTTCATTGGGCTTGTGGTTATGTGGATTTATTTTTGATAACTATTGATATGTAGAGGCAATTATATGCAATATGTTACTTAGAAAGAATGCATTTGTCTGCTCAAATTTTGCTTCTGCGCACTGCGCAAAGATTTACGCAAAAAAAAGTATTGTTATTAGGTACGCTATTGCTTTGTCGTACAGCTCCCAAGAACGACGGCACGTTCCCAAACACTGATAAACATTATCCTCATTACTGCTGTAGTACTCAGTTAAAGGAATGGGCTCCTACGGCGGGGGCGGGGGATCCCAAGATGTCGAGGTGATTGACAAGCGCTGATGGAACTGAATATACAGTCTAATATTCAACATTGTTTGGTTGATTAGAAATACAACTCAAAAAACAATTATCTAAATGATCGAATATTTGCAATATTTGGTTTCACTCGTTAAATTTTCCCTATTGAAGTGTTCCATGTTTGCTCATAGGTCAGATGTGCCATGTGTGCGACCTGTGGGTGTGAAAAGCCCACTCACCACACTTCACCGGTGTTGTGCCAGTTCACAGCTTTTCTGAACTAGTTCAAGTTCAGTTCATTTTACTTTTTTTGTGAGATATTCAAATAAATACTTTTTCTCACACTACGAGCTAGAAATCTCTACTGGATGCATAATATATATATACACTACCGTTCAAAAGTTTGGGGTCACCCAAGTGTTTTCTATGAAAAGTCACACTTATCCACCACCGTACGTTGTGAAATGAATAGAAAATAGAGTCAAGACATTGACAAAGTTAGAAATGATGATTTGTATTTGAAATAAGATTTGTTTTACATCCAACTTTGCTTTCGTCAAAGAATCCTCCATTTGCAGCAATTACAACATTGCACCAAAAACCAGACATTTGCAGCTAATAGTCATTTACCACATAAGCAATGTATAGAGTGTATTTCTTTACAGTTAAGACTAGTTTAAAGTTATCTACAGCTTTTCCTTCAAAAATAAGGACATTTCAATGTGACCCCAAACTTTTGAACGGTAGTGTATATAATATATATATCTCCTGTACACTGCACAGGATGAGAGCCTTTTGACTCAACAACAGACACGATTTACGAGCGTCACCCTAAGTTTCTACTCAGCACTTTTTATGACCTGAATTCATGCACAAGCTGAATCAATGAGCTACATTTTTCAATTAAATTACGGGTTTTAATTCAACTTTTAATACAGCTTAGAAAAAATACTGGGCCTCATTCACGAACGGTTCTTAGGAACAGATTTGTACGTAAATCCTACTTACGCGGTTTTTACGAAGAAAGTGGCATTCACGAATATTTCTCGTAACCAGAATTTCTTTTGTGCAAGTACAAATCCTACGAGTCCTCAGGAGCACTCGTACGCATTCAGTGCCGACATGTTCACACGCCGGGGTTGTCCTCTTTGGTGAAGTTGAATAAAAATACAACATTCCAGTGATATGTCCGTCATATCGATGTATGTATTTATTTATTTGTAGTAATCTTTATTAGTAATCTTTATTTATATACCGCCTTTTTCACTGCAGATCTGGCGTACTTTTTAATTCATTTTGAAATGAAATGTGCCAACGCTTTATCAAATACATTGGAAATCTTGCCGTGTATTAGTGACCCCTTCCTATTTATAGGGGGCATTTCTTTATCCACGGGCCACAGAACAACGGCATATATACTGCTGCTGCAGGAGGTTACTGGGTCCGCGCTGAGTCTCTGCGCTGGTCTCTCCTATGGATCTATACGGGTCTGCACTGGTCTCTCCCATGGATCTATACTGGTCTGCACTGGTCTCTCCCATGGATCTATACTGGTCTGCACTGGTCTCTCCCATGGATCTATACGGGTCTGCACTGGTCTCTCCCATGGATCTATACTGGTCTGCACTGGTCTCTCCCATGGATCTAGACGGGTCTGCACTGGTCTCTCCCATATACGGGTCTGCACTGGTCTCTCTCCATACGGGTCCGTGCTGCATGCTCCTGGATCCATACGGGTCCGCGCTGGTCTCTCAAGTCTGGTCTATGCGGTCTATCTTCGGTCCGCGCTGGTCTCTGCGCACCGGTCTCTCCAGTCAGGTCACTCCAGTCTATGCGGTCTCTCCTATAGGTCCGCGCTGGTTTCTGTGTGCTGGACACTCCAGTCTCTCCTCGGGTCTGCATTGGTCTCAGCGCTGGTCCGCGCTGGATCTCCTCCCAGGGTCCAAAATATTTTGTGATTAATCTCAAAACATTTTGAGATTCATCTTTAAAATAATACATAATATATTTTTAAATTAAGCTCATAACATTTTGAGATTAATCTCATCATATTCTTAGATTAATCTCATAATTTTGCTAGTTCGACTTTATTATCATAATATTTCGACTTTTAAGTCAACATTTTATAACTTTATTCTCAGTCTGGTAAAAGAAGAAAAAAGGGTGACTCTTTTGCTCCGTGTAACTCTTTGCTTTAGGCCTGTTGCTGTTTCCTCAGCCGTCTGCACACGGCCCTGCAGCCCCTTATATGGGCATTAGTGGGCGGTTACTTATGCTAAGTACCTATGCTAATGAAGCACCTGGCACGCGCGCTGTACTTACGAGGAAATGGGATTCATCAATCTGAGAGAACAGCTGCGAACAATTCAGCGGCTTACGAGCGCGTTGATGAATCCCACGTGGGGACTTCTTAGAAATCTACTTAAGGACAACTTGAGAAGAAAGTTGAGTAGTTTCTTACGAAGTTATTCGTGAATGAGGCCCACTGTCTTCTACATAAAGACAGAATGTTAATAATGTTAATGCCGTTAATGTGGATTTATTGTTATACTGAACAAATACAGTACATATATGTACACTATGTTTTCATTTATCTTTACATTCAAACAACCATTTACAGAAAAATATGGCATAATTTTGACGATAGTTTGAAATGTAATTTACTCGATTAAAAAATGTAATCGTTTGACAGCCCTACTTTTTATATATTTAAAACCAATGTAGATCTATGAAGGTGTCTTTACAGTGCATACTTTTTTGGGGACTGAAAACCATTCAATGCGCCATTTGCTACAGTGATAGTATCGCTTGTGTTGTGTTGAACTGCCCCGAGTGCAGTACTCAATGAGCTTTGCTGCTGGCCCACTGGCTTCATGTGCTGTTGGAGGCGTGCCACGTGTATGAGGGGAGCATGCAGAAGAAGAGGAATGAGCCTAAGTGCAGCTAAGCATCCCATTTATGTGCTCAGTTGAGTGGCCATTACATCTCGGGGGGCTGTGTGCACACATGTGGACACACTGAGGGCTTACAGTCACAGTGTGTTCATTACTTACATCTACTCGTGACTGCGGTCAACGGGTCGAGTTTTGAAGAATGAGCAGTCAAAAAGCACTATTAGGAAATCTGTGCATTAGAAAAAAGGGCAGGGCATCTTTTCCCAACACAATACAAACCTTGACTGCCGACTCTGCTGTCGTTGTGTCCTTGGCAAGACACTTAACCTCTGAGAACACCAGCCAACGTGGGGCGGCTGTAAACTGCTGTTGTGTCCTTAGGCAAGACACAACGGCAGTTTGGCACTTTACAGCCGCAGCCGCCCCACTGTGGCTGATGTTCCCAGAGGTTAAGTGTCTTGCCAAGGACACAACGACAGCAGACAGTGGGAGTCGATGGTGAAAGTCTTGAGCGGGGCTTGAACCCACGACCTTCTGGCTCAAAGGCCAAAGCTCTACCAACTGAGCTACTGCCCCCCCAGAGCATTTTTAACTAGATTTTTTTTGTTACCTTATGTAGAAAGAATCCTCATTAATCTTACCGGTTGTCAAAAATAAATTCAAGCCCACGTAAAATAAATTCACCAACACGTTTAAGAAATGCAAAATAATTTCATGGAAAAATCGAAATATCAATATTACTAAATTGTTCTTGTATGTATTGTTTACCCCTATTTAGAAGGCTCTTTCGTGAATGTTTGTAAAAATCTGAAACTGACGTATATACTGTGTACCTATGCATTCAAAGGTTCTTTATTCATGCTAGAGCCACATATAGATGCTGCGTAAGTCCTTCACAATGCACAAAGACAGTGAAATCATTGTTTGTGCCAAGTGCTCTTCTCACTCTGCTTCTTGTCACTGGCGCTGCTGCAGTCCCAGTCCCCCTCTGTGGTGATGATGGGGCTCTTGTGAAGCATTTCTGACTCACTCGGTCACTGCCACGCGTGACGCACTGGTCTTTACCAAAACACTTCACTGCATCAAGGCATTTGTTTCAGGCAGTAATATTATGTGCTGGGTTTGTCTTATCTCTATGCATTTGTTTAAGGCATTTACACTTCATACTTATACTTCATAATAATAATGATAATGCATCGGTTTTATATTCCCTTTCTTGGACACTCAAAGACGCTTTACATGTCTTTTATTCATTCACTCCATGATGAACAACTACTGTAGCCACAGCTGGCCTGGGGCACACTGACAGAAGCGAGTCAACCAGTATGTGCCATCCTCCGACCACCACCAACCATTCCCACACATACCAGACTCATTCTAGGCAATGGGAGTGAAGTGACACAACGACAGCAGACATCAGTGGGAGTTGGTGGAGAAAGTCTTGTGGTGGGCTCAAACCCACTCCCTTCTGGCTCGAAGCCCAATGCTCTACCAACTGAGCTACTGTCGCCCTTAATCCCTTTTGAATCACTGCATATTTTGAGAAGAGATCTACCATCATATCAGAATTTTTTTGTGTATTTGAAATGTCTGCTTTCATCAACAACTTCATGCATTCGGCCGATATGTTTCCATGGCTCGAAATAGATCATAATAATATTCTAAAACAAGATTGCTGTTTTTATTTATTTTACCCCAAGCTACTATTTTATATGTTTGTGTGGATCAGTCGACATTACTCGGTGTTAATTTCTTTGGTCCACTTATGTTTCAATCTAAACATAATTTAACTCATGTTTTAACTCATGATCTCTCACTTTTGTTTTCAGTTTGTTTATCAGTTTTGAAAGTAATAATTTGTTTTGAATGCCTCCAGAATGTAAAAAAAGTAATTACATATTTTTAAAGAAAACTACCAATTCAAAAGATTAACAAAACCATACACAAAACATCCACAAATTCTGGTTATTTTAAAAATTTTCCTTTCCTTTTCTGTTTGCGGTTAAGCATTATCCCCTCCAACCCCATGTTTATAGGCTGCCCTAAAAAAAAATCTGCCATTAGCCAGTCAAACTCTGAAGAAATCGGCAGGAACTAGCCTCAGAGAACCCAAATCGGTCGATCTATATGAGCTCATCCACTATGACGCAGTAGATTTATGATTAGGGGGACTCAGAAAACCACATGCAGACTAAAATGAACGCTAATCCCCATACATAGCCGGAAGCTCCATTGAAAAAGTAAACACAACAAACGTGCACTATTTATTATTGATTTATGCCCATTAATTATTGGCCAACATCATTTACATAATGACTTTGAAGCAGTGGGGGCAGGGGAGAAGACAGCCATTTTCAACCTCTCTTATGTTATTCCCTTTGGCCAAGAAATGCATTTTTCACTCAGACAGAACCAATGCTCTGTATAATGAGAACAAGCCTCATATTATGCAGGGTGACTTTTAAAAACTGCTGACATATCATTACAAGCACATCTGTATGACACTGGCATTGTTTTTCCTGATTGACACCCTGCATTATTCATTGAGCTGTGTGATTAAGTTGATTTTTGCGTGATTAACCTTTTGCTTTGCATGGATAATTTTTACAAAACAGTGGTGTTCCTAATCTAAATCATTGTGACTTTTAATTCTGATGAAGTTCTTTGTTTGTAAGTTGTGTCAAGCGTCTTGAACTACTTTTATAGAAGAGCTCCAAGAAATGTCAGTGCGAATTGGCTTTTATCAATCATTCAAAGGTTTTCAAATCATTCGATATTTTCAAGCCTCATTCCTCAAAAAACCTGGAATTTTGACTATACACCGCGGTACGCCCCTTTCCTCACACACTGAACACTCAGACTAAATATAGCGGTGATTTAGGCAGCAATAAAACCAAACTGTTGTGTAGCCTGTTGCTTACATATGGGTCAGGTTCTAATTCAATCTGAGACCAAAGACACAATTAATACATTAAAATTATTTATTTGGCGCATTGACCCCGGCAGTGACACTTGCAGCGATGAGATCGATTGCAGCTGAAGATGATCTCAGATCCCCCGGGGTCAAGCACTGGTGGTGACTAGAGAATGGTGTGAACGGGGGGAGCAGGAGCAGGAGCCGGAGCAGGAGCCGGAGCAGGAGCCGGAGCAGGAGCCTAGAGCAGGAGCCTAGAGCAGGAGCCTAGAGCAGGAGCCTAGAGCAGGAGCCTAGAGCAGGAGCCGGAGGAGGTGCTGGGGAGGTGGTGGGTGTTAAGAGCTTCAGGAGCGCAGCTTGTCAGGAAGTGACTGCCTTTAAAACTGCCCGGTTTGCTGACAGAGGGTTGTCAGGAGGCTGGCCGGGCTGTATGATTGGCTGAGGCTCGAGGCTGGCAGCGCGCTGTGTGATTGGTTGGCTTGAGAGGGGGAATTTGCACTCGGTCTTTCAGTATGAATTTGCGCGTTCAGCTTCATAACTACATGCAAGTAGTGACTCTTTATTTTGACATTCCTGCCTTCCCTGTATTTCAACACAGTTCCAGTGGTAAAAAGTTTTATAATGACAGTTTTACCAAGTCTGGAGTGATGACTCAGCAGGGTTTTTATAGAATCTATAGCTGTAATGGTACGTAGGTATGTACGCAAATGTTTGGCTGTTTTTATCCAAGTTTTCTCTTGAAAAACACAGCTCTGCCCATTCATTTACAGGGCCGCCTGCCTTGCTTTGCGAGGTAGCAGTAATGCACGAAGACATCTTGTTGCTGTATACGTTATTGGTTTTGCAAAACCTCTTCCCGTTTCTCTGTGTGACAGCAGAATATGAACTTGTGCATGAGTTTGTTTGCACCATTACCTGTGCAGTTCCGTTTTACAAGTGATGGAGAGCGAAGGAGACGTGCTGAGTCTCACTCTGATGACATGTGCTGTCACTGGACTGATGACCCAGCACATCCTCTCAGCCTCTGCACAGTGTCAGCAGCGAGGACTCTCTGTGCGACCATATGGACCTGCACACCATCTCATTTGGGAAAGTCTCCATGGGAACAGCAGCAAATCACGTATGAAATTGCCATTAAGAATCTTTTATATTCAACCCATTAAAATTGTTTGTTGTGGATTTTTATAATACACGAGAGTATTAAGTAAGAATTCAGTTCATCGTAGGATAAAATATCATGAAATGTTTTGAAGCCACATTTAAATAAACCCCTTAACGCGGCCTAGCTTCACCCAGACTCGACCTGATGAGGCACCCGGTTAAATTGAGTTTGAGACCCTTGCTACAAAGTCAATGGCATCTGATTGGTCAAACCTTATGGCTCATATCAGGTGCCACTGTGGGGCGGCTGCGGCTGTAAAGTGCCAAATTGTTGTTGTGTCCTTAGTCAAGACACTTCCCCCCATTGCCTAGAATGACTCTGGTGTGGTGTGTGGGGCCGATGGCGCATACTGGTTGCCTCGCTACAGTAGTAGTTTATGGAGTGAAAGAATAATGACGTAAAGTGTCTTTGAGTATCCTGAAAAGTGCTGTATAAAACCACTGCATTATTACTATATCTGGATTTAGAAAATGGAATAGACAATTTGCACTTTGGAACATTTGACATGAATGTAAAAACACCTCTCCTCCTGTATGTGGTCTCGTACATGCAAGCACACCAAGATTCTGCCCTAGAGTCTCTTCACTGCTTAGTCATATTTCTAGCAGCAGCAACAGATGACCACCGTTAACACAGGGGGAACATATCTCGGTTTCTGTATATTTAGCAGCTCCTTGTTGGCTGCGGCCACAGGGTAACCAGGCAAACTGCTACCCGAGCGCAATCATGGAAGAATTGTGAAGACGTTGACATCGCAGATAGAGTCCAAATTGTGTATTTTCTGTGAACACGCTGTTGTATGTGGTGTTTATGCTCCGCCGAATCTTGCGGGAACGTACTAGTGAATTCAATAGAATCATTTTGTTTACCCAGCCTCATTACAGTCTATGCTCTGATCTCTACTCTCTCCTCAACAACGTGTTTAAACTGGTGTAAAATAGGCTTGGACACTCTTCAGTCTAACACTGGGGGCTCTGTCTGCTCATACGATTCTCTCATACAATGGTTTAATGTTCGCTATGCATTCATTCAGCTCACTCTTTACTGCTTATCGCTCTTGTTGCCCTTGTTTGGATTTCATGGTCTCAGCCTCATTTGAAAGGGTTAGTTTGATGCTGTTAGCTTTTATAATTATGAGTTGACTACATTGCTCTGACCACACCACAGACCTCTTGTCTCCAGAGTGTTGCCTCAACCATCTGCTCAGGTCTCGGTCACAGCTCCCATTTCACATCACGCAATTCATGAGCCTTGAATTATGACCTCTTTCAATTGAGGATTGCAATCAACTGTACATGATTGCGTCAATAGATTCGGCGGAAAAATATTTCAAGCAATGTTGTGTAAATCATATCATCCATTCGGTCTGGAAACAAGATTATATTGTGAGCGATAATTTTTTTACTATAACAAAAAATGCACCGGATTTATTGGTCTATATTTTGAGGCAGCTTAGGCTACTAATGTTCTATTTACCAAATGAACAAAACTACAAATTTGCTTTAAACTTGTGTTGCTATGGTGCTCATCTTTGATGTTGAGTAGAGGTTGGCAATGTTTAGTAAATATAATCTATATACATATATCACTTTCATCTCAATGTTCAGATATCCAGCCCATCATAATAGTTGTTCTAAATGTCTTGTATGCTTTTAAAATCTCACGTAAAAGTACTTAGATGTAGTTACTGATAACTTCTTCTCCAAAGAAGTTATCAGTGGAAAGCACTCTCGCTTCTCAGCAAGAAGGTTTTGGGTTCAAATGCTTGTCAGAACAGGGCTTTTCTGAATGGAGGTTGCATGTTCTCACTGTGTCTGTGTTTCCTCAGGTTTCCTCCAGGTGCTTCGGTTTTCTTTACCACTAAAAACTGGCACAATAAGAAAAAAAAGTATCAATTATCTGGAGATGGGTCCCTATGGCGCTGTACTATGGGTGCTGCTGTAACTATAATAGAGATACAGCAGAGGCAGAGGTTGCTAGTTGAATTATTTTTTTTTAAACTGCATGACTTAAAGTAGTATTAGTACTTTTGCAAGTCACTATCTTCAAAATGTATGCATTGTCTTTCCTGTTAATGATTGACACTTCCTAAATGTCCCAGACCTATGGATTCTGTGTTTTGTTCTGGGAATACTTTTAGAATATTTTGTTTACAAAGCTGAACACATCTGCACTTGGTGTGAATTCTCGTTGTCATCCAAACAGTGCAGATTTTTCATTGTGTGTTGTCTAGAGGCTCTTCCATAGGCAATACATCGCAGCATGAAACAAAAATCATTCATAACAATGTAATAATGCCATTTCAAAACCACCACCTCATCTCTAAGTCAAAAGTGTCTAAAGTGTGTGTCTGTATCCTGCATATCTCTTCTGTTCCCACATTTAAACCCCACTTCTCATTCTCCACTCCAATCTGAAGCCGTGCTCCTATAATAGCCGTATTGAGTGCTGTGTCAAAGAACGAGTGCTTTATAGTCACATCCAGCAAATGGAAAACTAATAAATTGTTGATGATACAGATAGATATCCACAAGCTTGTCCCCTGCTTTCTTTTATAGAAAGTAGGACGGGCCTTGGCAGCTCCCTGTCATGCTAAAAAAGTCTCTTTTGTTTGTGTTTTACAGGCGAGTCCCGCACCCATAATCGTGAACACCGACACATTGGAGTCCGCACCTTATGTAAGTACATTGCTTTTTTATCCATGGAGGTAAATGTTTCTTTTTTAAGCAGCCTCGATATCAACTCCCTCATATAAAATCCCAACTGAATGAGATTCCATACAATAGGGTCTATTGCTGCTCAAGTGAAATACTACGAAAGGTTTCAAAACACAACTTATCTCTGCAGCATAGATTCGCTTGAGGTGTTGAATTATTGATAATCGTCATGAATAAAAAGGAGCAAGTTCCGGTCGCAAGCGGTATTTGCGGAGTTTCTCATCATAACAAACAAGTGCAGCAGTAGCGCAAAGCAGGTTATGTGAATAAACATGAGGCTGTTGGGAAAACGGGAACGGCACGGACAGGCCCTGTTTCTCGGTGTATTTTGCACAGTGGCTGCTACTGTAAACACAATGCCTGCACTGACTTCTCATATGCGGGGAAATTTCAGTGTGTTTCAAGTTATAGAACAGTAGGAAAGAGGAGCACACTGCACAAGATAAGTGAACAATAGCTTTACTAATTCAAATTCTTGGGTGCTACTACGACTGTTTTGTTTTATTTTTTTAAACAAATAGTTACATCTTTTCAGCGTTATAAAAGCATCTTTTCTCCTGGTGACGTGGTTTCATGTTTAGGTAATGGTAACTATACTCCCACTCACCATCACAGCCACCTGGTAGTTGGCGTTCTCTTTGTTATTTCTGTGTGACCATTTAACAGAAGGGCTGATCTATCACTAATCTATTCATTTAGATGCAGGGAAGTATCTACTCACTCCCCTAGCATGTTATAAAAATAGTTTTTAGACAAATGTTTTAATGTTGATGCTCGGCTTGGTCAGGACTACCGGAGCTGGAGGATTTAACCTAGTGTGCATGGTTTTTAATCGTAGAGGAAACATGCAAACACCACTCAGAAAGACTCTGTTCCGACCGGGATTCGAACCCAGGACCTTCTTGCTGAGAGGCTATGTATTCAAATGTGGCGGAGGGTGAAAGGGCCAAACCTCCACCACATTTACTGTAACGCATGAAATAAATACGTATCATACAGACAGGCTCTGAAAAGTACTCAGCCTCACTCTCAAGATCACCTGGAACCAACCAAAGCTGATCAACCCCGCTTTATTTCATAGATAAGATAAACCTTTTGGTTGTGCAGAGTAAAAGTAGAATTAAGAGCACTTGGGATATGCACACATCACACAATATCTATTTTTAAGGATACTAGATAATAAAAGAACGAGATAATAAACTCTGAAGATATAATTGCTCTAGGGTCCATTTCTAATACACACTAGTAATACAGCGCTTTTATACAGTGCTTTTCAAGAATTCAAAGACAGTTCAGGACACACACACATTCAGACACACACAAAACTAAAAATCTAAAAGCTAATAGTTGTATGCTTGGAGGAAGCGGTGAGTTTTTAAATGTTTTCTGAGGTAAGGGGCGAGAGAGTTCCAGAGAGTGGGAGCAGAGATGGCGACTACTATTGCTGTAGTTTCAGCTACTTGTTGTGTGTGTGTGTGTGTGCAAAGATTGTGCTGACTTACTGCTCTGTTTGTGTTCTGGCAGGTCAACGGGACTGAAATTGAATATGAATTTGAGGAAATCACTCTTGAGAGGGTGAGTATTGCTGAGCGAACAACTATGTGTTCATAATGTGTAAGAAGTTGCACGTCCAGTCAGGCTTCCAGTGAGAGCCCTTAAACATAATGCAAAGCTGCAAGAGGGGGAACTTCAAGTGCTCCCGACAGAAGATTAAATTACTTGTGTGCTCAGCATGTGGGCTACTATTGCATCATTACAGTCTCCTTTAAATGAAGTCGGGGAAAGTTTTCATTTAAAGCTGGGGTACCTTACATTCAAACCATTAGATTGTAATGTAACTATCGTCAAAGAGAATGACGGACGTGTTTCTGAATTTGGAAATAAGACGAAGATTCAAGAGTTACATATAAAACAATATTTAATTCTCTTTACAATTAAACATTAATACAAATCTCTTTGAGCTCTATTTCCCAAACTAACCCTATGAGCTGAGCCATTTTAAATATCCCTCCAGGCCTGAAAACGTACTGGGAGGCCGTCCAGGTGCTCTGCGATGTCCCCTCTCTCTGTCCCTGCTCAGACTGCTAACAAAATGTCCTACCAACACTTTCATCAAAATGTCCGATGACGTCTTATATATGGTGAGACCGACTGAGGCCCTGGTCTGGGTCTGGTCTAGTCCGGTTTTGGGTCTCATGCCTTGTCCCGATAAGAGAGGGCATGCTGTTCCTAAAATGATACTTATATCACAGAAACCAACATTGGGCCTCATTCACGAACCGTACTTAAGAACAAATCTGTGCGTAAATCCTACTTACGAAGATTTTACGAAGATTGTGGCATTCATGAAATTTTCTCGTAACCAGAATTTCTCTTGGGTAAGTACAAATCCTACGAGTCCTCGTACGCACATTCAGTGCAGACATGTTTGCACGCTGGTGTTAAGAAGTTCAATAAAACACAACATTACAGTAATAAATCCGCCATATTTATGTATGTATTTATTTATTTAATTGTTAATGGTAATTTAGCCTATTTTTTAATTCATTGTGAAATTAAATGTGCCAACGCTTTATCAAATACATTGGAAATCTTGCCGTGTATTAGTGACCCCATCCTATTTAAAGGGGGCATTTCTCCATCCACGGGCCACAGAACAATGGCATATATACTGCTGCTGCAGGAGGCTGCGGGGTCCGCGCTGAGTCTCTGCACTGGTCTCTCCCATGGATCTATACGGGTCTGCACTGGTCTTTCCCATGGATCTATACGGGTCTGCACTGGTCTCTCCCATGGATCTATACGGGTCTGCACTGGTCTATCCATGGATCCATACGGGTCCGTCCGTGCTGCATGCTCCTGGATCCATACGGGTCCGTGGTGCATGCTCCTGGATCCATACGGGTCCGTGCTGCATGCTCCTGGATCCATACGGGTCCGTGCTGCATGCTCCTGGATCCATACGGGTCCGTGGTGCATGCTCCTGGATCCATACGGGTCCGTGCTGCATGCTCCTGGATCCATACGGGTCCGTGCTGCATGCTCCTGGATCCATACGGGTCCGTGCTGCATGCTCCTGGATCCATACCATACGGGTCCTCGCTGGTCTCTCCCATCAATCTATTACAGGACCGCGCTGGTCTGTCCAGTCTAGTCTATGCGGTCTCTCTTCAGTCCGCGCTGGTCTCTGCGCACCGGTCTCTCCAGTCTTCAGTCTACGGCCTCTCCTCGGTCCGCGCTGGTCTCTGGGCGCCGATCTCCAGTCAGTTCTCCAGTCTACGGCCTCTCCTCGGTCCGCGCTGGTTTCTGTGTGCTGGTCACTCCAGTCTCTCCTCGGGTCTGCAGTGATCTCCTCAGGGTCCAAAAAATGTTCAGATTAATCTCATAACATTTTGAGATTAATCTCCATAATATTTTTTATTAATCTAATAATTTTGCTAGTTTATTATTCTCATAATATTTCGACTTTAAAGTCAACATGTTTTGACTTTATTCTCAGTCTGACAAAAGAAGAGAAAAGGGTGACTGTTTGGCTCTGTAACTCTTTGGCCTGTTGCTGTTTCCTCTGGCGTCTGCACACGGCCCTGCATTCCCTTATATGGGCATTAATGGGCGGTTACCTATGCTAAGTACCTATGCTAATGAAGCACCGGGCACGCGCGCTCTACTTAAGCGGAGATGGCATTCATCAATCTAAGAGAACAGCTGCGAACAATTCAGAGGCTTACGAGCGCGTTGATGAATCCCACGTAGGGACTTCTTAGAAATCTACTTAAGAACGACTTGAGAAGAAATTTAAGAAGTTTCTTAAGAAGTTATTCGTGAATGAGGCCCATTGTCCTTGAATCTTCCCCGAAGTCACTAAACTCAGGCTAAATATTATAGAAAGGCTTTTTATGCGCACACCTAATGATAATCATTAGTATAAAACAGCTTTATGGAGGCATTTCTATCAAAACCCATCTCACAAGTTCTCTTTTTAATTTGCTTTCTCAGACCAACATAGACGACTTCTTCTTAGCCAATTAGCTCCCAGCCCAAGTCGAGACTCACAGGGCTTGTTCTTACACAAAAACATTTAAATTTTTAATCAGATGGAGACAGCTGATGTGGTCTGATTTGTTCACAGCATTTTACTTTTTTAACCCAAGACTCTTGTTGGGTTAGGTACTCCAGCTTTAACAGAATGGAGTATTTTTTTAAAAACATATAACTCTGGCTTTTGCTGAATACTTAGATGAATAAAACTACAGTCCTTGGGTAATCACTGAACAAGCAACAGTATTAGTGTATTTTTGAAAATTGAATCAACTGAAGCCTTCACCAAGATGCTATTTCTTTCACCAGATTGGCTGGTAGAAATTCCTTAAAAGGATGAGAAAAACATAAATAGTGATTGGGTAAATTATCATATGAGACCTGGACATGTAGCTAACAATACTTTCATCCATTCTTTATAGAATTATATTTCAATTGGTTTGCAGTTGTCAATACGATTCTTTGAGAACTCTATTTTTGAAAGACATTTTTGCCCAGATAATTTATTGATGTGATTAGACGCACAATGTTCCACGTGTCCGGACGGAGCTGGAGAAGCAGACATTTGTTATTCTGCTCCCGCTGCATGGAACAGTCTGCAGTCAGAACTGAAGTGGTCCAAATTGTTTTCGCTAATCGCATTTTGTTCATTTCTATTTAAAAAACAGCTCTCAGCCATTACCAAGTGCTCATGCTTTTAAACTTGTCATATTTTTGCCTTCAGTTTTTTTGCCCATGACGTGTGCTACCGACCTCTTCTCCAGGACTCCCTTGAAAAAGAGGTCTCTATCTCAATGGGTATTTTCCTGGCTAAATACTCTACTGTTGTTTTGCTTATGTTCTGCCGTGTCACATCTAGACACCTTTACAAGAAATTATTAAACCATAGTTGATTGGAACTGACAAAGAAGATGTGGTGACAGTTTTTTGTTTCATTTGGATTTAGGAATTATAGAGAAAGTAGACGTTTTTCCCTCCTACCATGACAAACTATTGGCTCTTTGAAATGTTGTGACGTCACATGCACATGAACAACAACCTATTGAATGAAATCCGAAGCAGGGACATCTCTTTTAAAATGGATAGAAGCAAATGCGTGGCCTTTAGGAGGGCGGACAACACAATAACACCGTGCTCTGTGTGTTTACTCAGCCTCCACCATTCTCCTGCAGCTCTGAATTACACCCTGTTAAAAGATGACCACAACCTTTCTGTGCAGCCTCGAAGCACAGCGAGGCCCACGTCGTCTTTTCACTGTCCCCGGAGACAAGTGCAATATTCAATCTGCTGTTGAAGAGCCGCAGGGAAGCACGCTAGACTTTGTAATCAGGCGAAGCCGCGGTTCCCATCAGCTAACAACTTCATCAGAGCACAGCTTTCATTTGGAGAGAGAGAGAAAGCACTGAGGGGATTTTATATCTACAGATCTTAAAGGGCAGTGGCTGTTTCTGACAGAGATCGCAGTCATTTTACTCTAAATGTATTATTTATCTGCTAACAAAAGATTTGATTATCCATCCAGTGCACTTTTGTGATAGCAAGCGGAAGAAAACATTATCAAATTGCTGGTTTTGGATTATTAGTTTTCAGACATGCATGTATACTTCGCACATCGTTGGATCCGCTTTTCCAGAGAGAAAAGGGAAATAGAGAGGACCACCCTCCAATTAGCCAATCAGCTCTCAGCCTTAAGCGTCAATAAGTGACTCTCAAGGCTCTTACAAGTAACTGTTCACATTTTAGTGTTTTCGTGACTCTTTTTCGGCTGGTGCTCAGTGTACTGGGTGCCATGCCCCCGACCCAGAAATGTAGTAAGGGGAAGAAGATGGATGGATGACTCTTTTTGGATAAATGGAATGTATTATCGATTAAACAAAAAAGCTAGGTACCCAATGTTATGTTCTGCCGTATGACATTAAACAATTTGAGAAATATGATGGCTTCACTTGACAATAGAGCTGAAACAACTAATCGATTAATCGACGACTAATCGATTATTGAAATAGTTGACAACTATTTCAGTAATCGATTAATCGTTTTCTGGTTCACACGGACTCAAACAGAGCAAAAATGACATGAAAATGTAGTATTTTTGATTAAAACCGATAATTTCATGAATATCTGTTTGTCTCATCCAATCAGATAGCAGAATTAGCACAAAGAGCCTGTTACAAACATTTACTTTAAGTTTACGCCATCAATATGTCCTCGAGTGTTGCCACTTTAGCTTTTTGTGATGAAAAAATACAAATTTTCTACACAATTCACAGCCAAGCGATTACTCGATTAATCGTAAAAATAATCGATAGATTAATCGATTACAAAATAATCGTTAGTTGCAGCTCTACTTGACAATGTAAGAATTCAGGCTTTTGAGAATTAAAAAACGGTACATTTCACCATAATAAATAAAAACGCCATGGCAGTGATGAAATACCACAATGTGCTAATGCCATTTTTACATCACGACTGCACAAGCTTCCAGAACAGGCCAGTAGGGACAGCTGTCTGTGGTCGGCTTGTGTTTGGTTGACACGGTGTCTGTCTTCTGTCTCCCCGTCTGACCTCTCAGGGGAACTCGGGGCTCGGCTTCAGCATCGCCGGAGGGACAGATAACCCACACATCGGTGACGACCCTGGCATCTTCATCACCAAGATCATCCCCGGAGGAGCAGCAGCTGAGGACGGCCGGCTAAGGTCGGTTCTTGTGCTTTCACTTTTCAAGTTTTTGTTTTGTTTTTTTACTTCATTATTTTCTGACTTACAAAGCACAGCATTGAAAGAGGGTTAAACTTCCCATTGTAATCCGCTTGATCGTATTTTTTCTCATTTACTGTATACTTAGGTATTACTGCAGAAAGGGAGAGAAACACATTTAGTAAATATTTATTAATACATTCAAGTTTGGGTTGTTTTGAGTTGGGCTTAACCTCTTAACAACCGCCTCATTTTGGCTCGTGCACAATGGTTGGGCATACCCAAATGTCTTTGCTTATTTAAAAACACATCTTACATCTCACATGCTTGTGTGATGCATCATTTTAAAGCTAGAGCCTTCTAGTTTATGTAAAAAAACACTAAAATAATGTTTGTCATTCCTATTTTCCTCTGCATCCTTTGAAGTTAGGGAAAAAACCCCAATTTTTTTAGCCTCGCCTAACATTTTCAATGTCTAAAGGCCCTAAAAAAGGCATACTTCATTGTAAGTTCACAATATTCAAACCCTCTGTTCATTGTGTTGTTGACAACAACTGTCTAAAGTTTCAGACTTCTAAGTTTTATAGTTTTTATGCAGTTTCTCCTTTTCATCAAGTAGTGCACATTTGGCACAATTTGGCACAAGTGTGCCAAATTGTGCCAAATATCTTTACTTACATTTAATCATCATAAAAACAATATTTTTTATTATTGGTACTTATAAGTTACTAATCTATGTGTGTTTTTCTTTTTTAAATGTCAAAGTTATTTTTTTATGAGTGTAAATTCATTGCAGCTTCGGGAGCGTCTTTTGGCTTCCATGACGCACAATAGTCCAGGCCCAAGATAAGACAGGACACCATTGTCCCACCCCTTGTTCGAAAGCTTTCCTCATTGGCTACAAGGACATGTCAATCGTAAATCCCGGAAGTAAACGTAAACAAGTTGGGACCCCACAAAAGATTAGCCACCAATGCGCAAACAGCAGCGCTAGCGTTATTTGCGGGAGCTATTGCAGACCCAAAAATTGGTCTAGCTTTTCGGGAGTAGTCTCATTTGAAAGATAAGGAGCTAAGGAACACGTAGATACCAGATGTTCGGGTGAAAAACAAAGCTAAAAGTCCGTTACAAGTGAAAGAGTAACATCTGTGCTCTTTTTTTTTCGTTTTTTTCGCTAAAGATAAATGCACATTTTTGGATTATTTCTGCAGAATGGATTTTACTTTGGGAAATACAAGTGGATATAATTTTCCTTTGGACTGTTCCAGAGAGAATGATGTATTGCAAGCTGGGAGGAGAGCTGATTTATTTGTACAGCACAAGCCCAAAGGTAAAGAACTATTTCCGAATTGATTTATTTTGTGCCCACATTATGTGTTATATCTTTTGAATGCAAAGTCTGATGTAGTTTACACTTGTATGTAAATGTAGATAAGAAAATAAGCTTTAAAATGATATACAGCTTTTGGGGTTTGGTGTTCAAAATACATCTGCTATTGCCAGCAGAACATTTAAAAACATAAAAACAACCCGCCGGCGGGTTGGTGGTAATCATTCTGATAATGTTTCAAGTCTTTGATTATTCGTTTAATAAATTAGTTGTTTAGATTGCGAAAGATCAGTTAATATGGAATTGTTTTCTACATTTCAACAAAACTAAGCTCCAGTGAGGCTTCTGCCCTTTGATTCATATTTGACAGGGCTGAAGTTGGCTGAATGACAGTTTTGTAGAGTTTTGTGCCACAATCAAAAGTGGGTATAGTCAAACAAAGAGGTGTAGAATACCTGTACTGTGTGTTGGTGCTTCGTTCAGTTGTAATATTGTACAATTTGACCAAAATACTGATAGCACTCTCGCTTCTCATCAAGAAGGTCCTGGGTTCGAATCCCGGTCGGAACAGGGCCTTTCTGAGTGGAGTATGCATGTTCTTCCCGTGTCTGCGTAGGTTTCCTCCGGGTGCTCCGGTTTCCCCTACCACTAAAAACATGCATAATAGGTCTGAATGTAAATGAGAGAGTGAATGGATGGTGTTGGAGTTGATGGTCCAGTGTGTTCTGGACTCGCTTCTGTCATTACCGTGTGTGGAAGGATTGGAACAATATCTGACTCTGAACATTGTAAAGGCTTTGGGTGACCTTTGTCTGTGAAATGTGCTATATACAGTAGATGAACATTACTTACTTACAAAAAATAAGACAATTGGAAAAACTATGCTTATACAATACAATAACACTTAGCAGTGCCAATAATCGGGCTGCCCAATAATCTGTCGACCCCCATTTGATATTATATACAGCATGAATCTTTAATTGTTAAATATCAACCAAAAACTATTAAACTGCATTTTGAGGCAAGTTATAAAAAATCTTAACTTGCATTTTTTTTCTCCCTCGAATTGCACGTCTGCTTCTGTAATTATAACCCCTTGAATGCAGTGGCCCAGATGCCCTCTACAGAATGGGAGCTGATTGTGCACTGATGGCCTGATGCTGCTGTAGCTCACAGCTTAATGCAGGCTTCAGCCCGTAACAGCCTTCTGTAACAGCCTTATTAAAGGACCAGAGACGTGTGGATACAGCCGTCACAGCCTTCCCTTCAGCAGTTTATCAAAGGAACAAGGACAGAACCTGGGCTCGTTTATCATGCAGCGGACATGGGGCTTTCTCAGGGGAAAACATGCATACTCAGTCAGCAAATGGGACTTTGATCAAGTAGTTTGGAAAAGGTTTCTACTTTACATATTTAACAGTATCAATGACGTCTATATGTAAAAATCATCTACTAACAATGAACCTATACGCTGCGGTATTGAACTCATAAAGCTGGGGTATCATGCATCTTTTTTTGTTCAGCTTTTTCAGACATAAAATTCAAAAACGTGGACCACCCTCGCTCTGATAATCAGCTCTTAGCCCATAGACTTAAATAATAATTCACAAGGCTCTTTCTTACAAGTTTGCAAAGTATGTTTTCTACAAACTTGAAGACATCATGATGTGGTCAGATTTGTATGACTTTCTGTTGGGACAAAGAACAGTCAAAAGAAAATTCCATTGCGTAATTCAAGTTATAATATCCTCTGAGATATATCAAGCATTGTTTTGTCATAATAAAAACAACTTAAAAATAAACATGTCTAAATAAAACATGTTCTATTTTAACTTAGTGTTTTGAAAATGGACTGTAAGGATCCTAATAATAAACATTTTAACAAAGGCTTTGCATAAGTCACTGTATGTAATGAGTCTATACCATGGATCTATAAAAAATACTTGATATAGGGTATTAGCTTACAGCTGTCCCACCCATGGCCACAGGGGGCGCTGTGGTACTGCAGACTAAATTCATGTGGGCTATCCAGAAAAAATAACTCAACGTAAACTAAAACAGCTTGACCTCAGCTGACAGAGAACCTGACAGAGAACCTACAGCTTTCATAGAGATCGTATTAAGTGGGGATTTTAGTGTCCCTTGTCATCCTGAACTTTTTTTCTTCTTAAATCCTTCGGTTTTCTTTAAATCCACACTTTACTGCCACAAACTCTGCTCCTTTCCTTCCCGCTCTGACTCCGCTCTACCACTGCTCTGATTGGTCAGAGCGCGGCCGAGCCCCTCTGTGCACGTTCATGAGAGCCACACACGCATATATGGCGCAATGTATCATGGGAGCTCAAACCACTGCCTAACCCATTGAATAGGGCGCGATCTTGGATCACCGGGGCTTGGTCTATACTCACCTTTTAATTTGAATCACAGAAATAACTGAACTTTTGAACAATATTCTAATTTTCTGAATATCACCAGTATCTTGAAAAAAGGTTTGGTTCCTGAGCTTTTGTTGAGATTTTTTTCCCTATTATATTAATTGAGTGAGATTTGAGCCGCAGTGTAGTAAAAAGCAGCTTGTGTGTGATGTCTAGAATATGTATCAATGTTTTTGACCGGCTCTTTATGACCTAGAAACGGTTTATCAAATCAGAAGCCCAAAGCCTTATTAAGTGAAAGGATTTCAGGTGCATTCATTTTCCTCTTTCCATCATTAGCTTTTGGCACGCTAACCCTTTTATGCCTCTGGGATGGATAATGCTAGTTTTGGTAGCCGGCCATCTTTGCTTTCCCTTTCAGGCCAGGGCTCCAGAGCGTTACTGTCACATCGCAGACGCAGGAGAACGTACAGTGCATGCACAATGTCAATCTCCCATAGGCTGCGGGAGAGGCGAAGCGGGCATAAATCACACTTTACTTAATTGATGGTCACCCAGCCCAAGGTGGGCAGCGAGGCTAATGCATTATGGATGGAGGAGGTGTAATCTGTGTTGGGGACGAGGCGGGACGTGCATTTGCTGCTTGATTTGAAATTATGAAAGGCAGACACACTTCCTACCGCTGCGTTGGGAAGGCAGCAAGGCGCTAAGCATACTTAATGTATCAACTCCACTCACGTAACTGCTGGAGAGGTTTTAAGAGTGTTCAACAGAGCTGTCCGGAGGGGTATCTGGAGAAGTAGAAAAGATAACACGTTTTTTTGTAGAGAAATTGTCCCACATAGTCAGGAACCTTTTTTGGGGCTTATCAGGGCTGGACTGATGTTATTTCTTCAGGGTGTCAGCAGGGTCTTAGAAAGAATTCAATGTTCTGTTATAATTTGGTTGCAATGTAGACCTTTGAAGAAGAAATATGTTGCATTATTTTTGGCCTTTAAAATGATAATGAGACTAATTACCTTGTCATCTCATGTTTTTGAATATTATATTTAGTTGAAATTATATAGTGACACCATAGACTGTAAAATTTAACAGAGTGTTTAGTGACGCCTATTTCTTCCTTTGAAATTCATGTGCCACAGACATGGGCAGATTCAGAATGACAGCATGAAGCACCTCCCGCAGGAAAACGTGAAATAACGCATTTGCGCATGCCGGCACCAGTCCTATTCCGCATTGACCCGCAACTGGAACAGAACGTTGAGCCTAGAGCCGACTTTCAGACTAGCTCGTGA